CTTTGGGTAGAATTTCAGAATTGATTTATGTGGACCTTGGGGAACTCTTCTTAAGCATGCATTACAGAGTCCCAGAAAGCTAAGGAACTGTAATTCTTCCAGTCAGGTCACAGTTATGCCTGGTTTCCCTTTCTAGTCCACATTTCATTTGCACACAAGAAATAAATGTATAAATAAACAATACATACATACATACTTTTAAAAAGCAAAGAGATGAAATCCCCACATCTAGATTTATCTGAATGCCCGCTCTCCAACCATGTCTTATTTTTGTAGAACCTACTTCGTGAATTGTCTTGTTCCTTCTTTTTCAAGATCTCCAGTTGTCACAAAGGACGATGCACTTTGATATCTCAGCTTGTCTTTGTTTGAATTCATGTGTTTGATGAGCTCCTTAGAAACATGGAATTTATTCATGAACTGATCACATAATTAGGCAGCTAGAAATTCTTGTCCAGAACAAGCTGCTTGAAATTTGGTTAAAACTGTGTTTTGTGCTGTATTTGAAAATGCCTTTTCCCTCTGTTTTCACCCCTGCCTGCAACTTATGATGACCCAGATTCTACTCTGTCTCAAAAGTGAAATTCAGACAAGTGGCTGAAGGGCTGCAACGATCTTATTAATTGAATACTCTGTGTACTCATACAGCCCTGGTTGTGCAATGGTTAAGAGTTTGGCTGCTAACCAAAAGATTAGCAGTTTGAATCCACCAGCTGCTCCTTGGAAATCCTATGGGGCAGCTCTACTCTGTCCTACAGGATCGCTACAAGTCGGAATCAGCTCGATGGCAACTTTTTTTTTTTTTTTTTAATGTACTCAGGCATTTGCATTGCCCTTTTCACTTTTCAGTCTTTACATATAAACTTTGCTTTAACATAGAGAATCGGCTCATGGGTTAGTGAATAGGGAGGATTGTAGGTGCAGATACATCTGTAGCTATGTTCCCTTTAAGTGTTTTAGCCACTATTGGCATGGACTTAGCTAAGTGTTTTCTACATTTCAGTATCTATGAATTTGAAGGTGAGTAGATGATGTTTGAGGTTTTCCAGACTAACTTATAAATGCAACATGATGTGGTGGCTTTAGAACTAGAAACTGCTTGGAATATAAATCTTTTTTTTTTTTAATAATTTGTGTAATCTAAGGTATGTTATTTCTCCTCTGTGAGCCTCTGTTTCCCCATAGAAAATTAAATGAGATTATATGTATGTAAATATATATAGTATGTTTGTATATATAAATGTATGTAAAATATATATAGTAACTAGTATATATGTACACAATATAGATAATGTGTGTGTATAGTAACCAAACCAAACCAGTTGCTGTCAAGTCAATTCCGACTCATAGCAGCCCCATTTGTTTCCAAGTAGAACTGTGTTCCATACAGTTTTCAATGGCTGTGATCTTTTGGAAGTAGATTGCCAGGACTTTCTTCCAAAGCACTTCTGTGTGGATTCAAACTGCTAACTTTTCGGTTAATAGCCAAGTGCTTAACTGTTTGTGCCACCTATAAAACAATAATAAAAAGCCTAATGACCCAATGGAAACCCTGCTGGCGTAGTGGTGAAGAAGCTTGGCTGCTAACCAAAAGATCGGCAGTTCAAATCCACCAGGCGCTCCTTGGAAACTCTATGGGGCAGTTCTACTCTGTCCGGTAGAGTCGCTATGAGTTGGAATCCACTCGACGGCAATGGATTTGGATTCAGCAACCCAACAGAAAGACTATGAAATGGCTTAGTCATATAAGAATTACTAGTGGCCCTGATGACACAGTGGTTAAGAGCTTGGCTGCTGACCAAAAGGTCAGTAGTTCAAATCCACCAGTCACTCCTTGGAAACCCTATGGGGCAGTTCTGCTCTGTCCTATAGGGTCGCTATTGACTCGATGGCAACAGGGATGTATACCTGTGGATATAATCACATTTGGGAGTAAGATTTTCTTTGTTATGTTAATGAGGTCATATCTATGTTGGGTGTGTTTTAAGCCTATTACTTTTGAGATATAAAAGAGCAGTTTAAGCACAGAAGCAAGAAAGTACAGATGGAGAAAGATAGATGCCAGGCCACATGAAGATTGCCAAGGAACCAAGTAACAGAAGCTGAAAAGAGACAAAGACCTTTCCCCTGGGCCCACACGGAAAGAAAGCCTGCTCCCTAGAGCCGGTGCCCTGAATGCAGACTTCTAGCCTGCTAAACTGTGAGAAAATAAATTCCTGTTAGCTAAAGCCACCCACTTGTGGTATTTTTGTTATAGTAGCTCTAAGAAACTAAGACACTGGGAGTTTTACATCTAACTATTTCCTCTTAAAGAAGTGCTCACATGTGTGCAAAAAAGGCATATGAAACAATGCTCATGACAGTTTTTAAAAAATAAACATTGGAAAAAACATAAATGGTCATTGGCACGGGAATAACCAAATGGATTATGGTATATTCATAATATGGCATACTATACCGTAGTTTTAAAAGGCTGAGATAAATCTATATGGACTGAAATCGAAAAATATTCAAGGCACATTAAGTGGAAAAATGTGCAATGTGTGTAATGTGTGTAATCCCATTTTTGTAAGAAAAAAACCTCTTCTGTATATGTGCTTATGTATATAAATGCAAAGACAAAGATCTGGAAAGGAAAACAGTAAACTGATCACACTTGTTCCATTTAGCATTGCTGGAGATCCAAATTTGGGAATCAGAGTAAAAATGAACTTTTACTTTTTTATTCTCTTTACCTCTGTAATTAAAGTCTCTTACAATGAGAATATTTTTAAGTATTTACTTGGGTAAAATAAGTCAAGACCCCCAAAATGAATACATAAATGCGCCCACCACAGAGCCTGAAACATTGTAGACTCTCAGTAGTAAGCAATCTCTTTGCTCTGTGTGACATGAAGCCCAAACCAGGCATTGAAGTGAGGGGATTTTATGATTTTATTCACACCATGCAGGCTGTATACATACCCAAGTGCTTAACTCGGGCATCAGTGAACAATTTTGGGAAGTACTTCAGGATCAAGCAGCTTCCTAAAAGTTATCATCACCCAGGTAAAGAGAAATGGGGAAATATGACTACTATTTCTCGGAAACATGCTTTATAGTTCTAAGTTCTTATGGCGATCACATAGTTCGACCTAGTTCCTTTGTTTTGCAGATGGGGATATAAATGTCTGTTTTACAGACTTGCCGAAGACCCTAAGTTTGTTGGAAGAGATAGTCTTAACCAAATATTTATTCCACAAACATTTTCTAAACACGGCGTTTGCTGTGCCAGGCCTTTGGAGATACAGAGAAGATACCACATACTTAATGAGTACACAGTGTAGAAGGGGTGGTCGGCACTCACATTCAGATATCCTTTCTTTCCACAGATATTTGTGGAGGGACTGCCATGAGCCAAGCACTGTTTTAGGCAATGGAGATAATTCAGTAAACAAAACTGAACAAAAATCAGTGTCATCATGGCAATAAACTAAATAAGTAAATTATAGTATGGTTGAGAGCAGTAAGTGTTAAGCAGCAAAAGCAGTGATGAGGTGACTCAAAGCTAATTTTTTTGCAAATGATAAGAAATAACCTGAAAATAATAAAAGAAAATGAAGATGAGTCTCATGACAGGAATTGAAAGGGGTTTTTTTTTTTTTTTTTTTTTCTTTCATTTTTGAGGAAGTACGAAGGAGAAAAAAGTGAAATAGGCAGAGTTAGGAGCAGGTAGGACTTCAACCCCACCTCCAGCCAGGCTGACATGAGATGTGAGGCTGTGGAAAACACAAGAGCGTCCATTGAAGAGGGCTGCAAGGGAAGCAGTGTCATCGCAGGAGATGTGGGAAAGCACCAGGTTGTGTTGAGAACATAAAGGGATCATCTACAGAAAAATCTGAGGAGGACATTAAGTAGGTTTTCTCATGTTTAACCTGAGTTCTGGGGGCATCTGGGTGGGATGTATTGTTGGAAATGGCAATGTCCAGAGATATTTGGGATTGAAGTTTTGGGAATAAGGGATGACCTGACATAACGGGTGGATGAGGACAGGGCAGTTGGATCATTCTTTGCTGGAGTGCACAGTGTAGTGGGACTTCAGTGTATGGAGGCAGAGCCTGTCTCCTGTAGAGAGGGGCAATCTTATTTCTAGCACTTCTAGCACATCAGCCTTCTCTGCAAGAGGGGAGGGGCACCTACACTGAGCACAAGAATGCTCTCTTGACCCCTGCTGGCTGGTCAGCTTGGGTACTATGCTCTGCTATCTCTTTCCATCCCCTTGACTACTATACTACATTATGAAGTGTTTGAAAATAGGGTGGGGTGTAAAAAGAAAGACTCCCTTTAGTAATAATGATTTGGATGTTTATGCAATTTTGTTGTTTGTTGCCATCAAGTGTGATTCTGACTCATGGTAAACCCATGTGTGCAGAGTAGAACTATGCTGTATAGGGTTTTCAATGCTGTGACCTTTTGGAAGCAGATCATCAAGCAGATCCTGAGGTGTCTGTGGATGGGTTCGAACGACCAACCTTTTGTCTAGTAGTTGAGCGCTTAACCATTTGTGCCACCCAGGGATTCCATTTATGCAAAATGTTGTATTTAGTTTGCTACTTGAAAACCAAAATGGATAGGTTTATCCAGGGACCTAATCACTATCAGTGTTCCCATAACCCCCAAAATGAACTTAAAAAATTAGTTTCCTGAATTGGTGTATGTTTTTGCTGTGTATATACAAAAAACAAATTTATTATAAAAAAATCAGTTTCCTTTTTACAGAGCCTCTAAAAAGCATGACGAAAGCTCAGACAAGAAGAGGAACTGCTTATTTCTCAGAACTATTTAAAGAAAATCTCTAACATGTGTTCTGACAAAATATAAACAAAACCAACTCATGTCTAATCCCTAGGTGATGCTTCTCAGGAGCACTTTCTTGAAAGAGCCATCACAAGAATTAAAATTATTTGTTGACCCTTGCTAATTATTTCTTATTGCTAAAACTCACCATTTTGCATTTGCAGGTATGAATATAAGCAAGAGTGAGATGGTGAAAGAAACTTCATTAAAACCATCTCGGAGATCCCTGCCTTGCCTTGCCCAAAGCTACACATACTCACAGAGCTTGAGCCAATCTACCTCACTCTTCCAGTCAAATGAGAGTGAATCTCAGGCTCCCACTTCTGTAACCACAGTCTCCATTGACAAAGCAGCACAAGGTGAGTAACTCCTCCGATTTTCTTCTTCAACTTCTACAGAGCAAGTGTTTTCAAATGATCTCTTCCTTACTTCGTTTATGTGACTAATATTTATAGAGCTCTTAATTTAAGGAAGGAAGCTGACATAAGAAGGAGAACTGGCCATGCCAGTCAGATGAAAGTCCATATGTTGACCAGATGTGTTTTCATTCTTTCCTTGCCTTGGAGGTAGTCAACCCTATGCGAGCCTTAACTGAATACTGGCTGTTTACAGTGGAAGACAGATCCAAATCCATGTATCACTAGCTCATTTGGCGGCTGTTTGCATCCCTTTTATTGATGAATACTATTCCTGGTGAGAACTTATAACCAGTATTTGAGTAGAATATGTCAATAATAATAAAAACTCAGCTTTAGAAAAAGAAAAAAAAAAAAGTCCCAAGACTTTAAATAATATTGACAATACAACAGTGAAGATTTGGTTGCACGAAGATGTGGTCAGGCAAGTGCTGGCAACAAAATGTTGGCACTCAAGCCTCGGATAGCACAAGGGCTGAAATTCAGGGATGTACCAACCAGATGCCACATGTAAAGAGATATTGTGGCTGTCCTTAGGCAATCTTCTACAGACAGCTGCCCATCTGAGCCACACCATTATGCCTTTGTTGTTGTTAGCTGCTGTCCAGTCAGCCCCTGACTCATGGTGATCCATAGGGTTTTCGCTGGCTGATTTTCAGAATTAGATCACAAAACCTTTCTTCCTAGTCTGTCTTAGTCTGAAGCTCCACTGAAACTTGTTCAGCATCATAGCTACATGCTAGTTTCCACTGACAGAGAAGTGGTGGCTGTGTTTGAGGTACATTGGCCAGGAATGGAACCTGGGTCTCCCAAATGGAACGCAAGAATTCTGCCACTGAACTACTGTTGCCCTCATTATGCCTTCAGGCTATCCCTTTTCACAAGAGTCGGGAGTCAAAATACAGCCAGGCTCCCTTTTATCCAGTGGATGAAGTGTGTTTTTATGTTTCCATCCCTTTCTAGCTTTTGTGTTATGGAGATGCATTCCCTTATGATTCTGTAAGGTTGCTTCTTCCTCTGGATAACTTGAAAATAAGGTTCTAATTTCAATAATTATTATTATTAATAGTCAGCTTACAACCAGGCCCAATAAAGAAAGTGATTAATTGTTTACTGCAATGAAGGTATTAATCATAATGTACTTGCTTCTTTTCCTTATTGAGAGTGGAATTTTAAATAACTAATTTCAACTCATTTTCTTAAAAAAGTTCTTGAAGTTTGGTCATCATTTAGGTATCAGTTGCCATGGTCATTCTTCTAACTGTTTTCATGTTTCTATTTCGTGAACTGCCAAGTGTTTTATTTTTTAATTTTTTTCAGTTAACGCTGAGGAGAATAAAAAAGACTCTGTGCTCAACTGTTCTTTCACGGACCTCAGTGATTTTTGCTTGGGTGAGTTGATTTTTAATATTTCCCTCCTTTATTTCACTTTCAAAGGTAAGCTGTAGTCTCTAAACTTAGAACAATTTTTTTTTGGGGGAAACTTGATGTTTGGCCTTTATCTGGTGGGTGAGTATAATATTCCGAGCATAAAATTGTATTAAAGTGTCTTGTATAGTTTGAAATTCAAACAATATAAGAGAATTTACAATGGCCGACAATCCTGTAACCTAAAAATTTTAATAATTTCTGCTTTTAGTATTCTGGAAATTTGTTTTGATTTTCTATGAATAAGTATATTTATACTACTACTTCTAGATTTTTCAGATTTAAGCATTATTGGTTGATTGCCTATTATGCCAGATAAAGGTTTAGCACATTTACATAGCCTTTCGATTTTTTATAGTTATATTGCTATTTTAAATTCAAGTTTGTTGGTTAAACTTATTGTCTAAATAGTATATTTATATGTCTATATCATATTCTAACATAGTTCAGCAATATCTCTTGCCTCCCAATATGGCAATGAAAATAATGTTTACCAAAGAACAAACTGATATGGTATCATTTCCTTTTTTACAGTTCCAAGTTGTTATGACCTCTATGCCTCTCAATCTTTAATATTCCTAGAGTCAAAGTTAAATACATTCTTCTCCCCACCTGTCCCCATCAAATACCCTCCTCCATCAAATACTCAAAATCATGCCCCATTATATGTACTTTACTGTTTATGCTACAACCTTCATCTTATTCTTCTTTAAGAAATTCTGGAGGGCGTTATGCTGAGTGAAATTAGTCAGTTGCAAAAGGATAAATATTGTATGAGACCACTATTATAAGAACTCAAGAAAAGGTTTAAATACAGAAGAAAACATTCTTTGATGGTTTTGAGGGTAGGGAGGGAGGAGAGGGGAATTCACTAACTAGATAGTAGACAAGAATCATCTTGGGTGAAGGGAAGGACAACACACAATACAGGGGAAGTCAGTATAACTGGGCTAAACCAAAAGCTAAGAAGTTTCCTGAATACAACCAAACACTTCGAGGGGCAGAGTAGCTGGGACTAGTGTCTGGGGACCATGGTTTCGGGGGGCCTGTAGGTCAGTTGGCCTAACAAAGTTTATTCAGAAAGTGTTCTGCATCCCACTTTGGTGAGTGGTGTCTGGGGTCTTAAAAGCTAGCTAGCAGCCATCTAAGGTACATCGATTGGTCCCAACCCACTTGGAGCAAAGGAAAGAACACCAAAGACACAAGGAAAATATTAGCCCAAGAGACAATAAGGCCACATAAGCCAGAGACTCCATCAGCCTGAGACCAGAAAAACTAGATGGTACCTGGCTACCACCAATGACTGCCCAGACAGGGAACACAACAGAGAGTCCCTGACAGAATGGGAGAAAAGTGTGTAACAGAACTCAAATCCATGTAAAAAGACCAGACTTAATGGTCTGACTGAGACTGGAGGAATCTCTGAAGCTATGGCCCCAGGACGCTCTGTTAGCCCAGAACTGAAACCATTCCCAAAGACCGCTCTTCAAAGATTAGACTGGACTATAAAACATAAAACAATACTTGTGAAGAGTGTGCTTCTTAGTTCGAGCAGATACATGAGACCAAATAGGCGGCTCCCGTCCAGAGGCAGGATGAGAGGGCAGGAAGGGACAGGACCTGGTTGGATGGACACAGGAAATCGGAGATGGAAAGGGGGAGTGAGCTGTCACATTGTCAGGATTGCAACTAGTGTCACATGACAATATGTGTATAAAATTTTGTATGAGAGATTAACTTGAGCTGCAAACTTTTACCTAAAGTACAATAAAAAAAAGAAAAAAAATTCTTGCTATCCAGTGACTTTTCCTTGGATACTGGATTAATTTCACAGTTTCTTATATCCTACATATTCCTCCTTCTCAGTTTTTACTCTTGTTTTTTCAGAGTATGCCCTCAAGCAGCTACTTCAGAACGTTGGTTTGAGATGCAAATTCTAAGTTATTTTATGTCTTTATTATATGTGTGTATGTCAACATGACCTCAGTTCACTCTTCCATTTAATTAGTATTTGTTTGAGCATGAAATAGATTAAAAATCACTTCCCTTAAAATTTAGAGACCATGATTTACTATCATCTAGTATTAGTTGCTGCTGATAGAAACCTGATGTCTGTCTGTTTCTTATTCGTTTGTAATTGATTGTTTCTCCTGTCTGTAAATTTTTATGATCTTATCTTTATTGCTTGTGTTATAAAACTACACAACATCATGTTTAGGTGTGTAAGCATGTATGTGTGTTTATTCACCCTGCTCTAGAGTTTTTGTCCTTTCGGTTTAAGTTTCTTGCCTCCTTTGCACTTCCTGGTTTTCTAAATTTTCCTAAAATTTCTATACTTTTGTTCCCTCTGTACTCTCTTTCTGGAAGTCCAACTAAAAGTTAGACATGTTTCTGTCATCTAATGATTTTGATTTGTCTCTGTTCTGGAAGATTCTCTGAATTTTTCTTCCAAATGTCTTTTGATTTTGCATGCGCTTGTGTGTGTCTGTGGAAGGCAATTGTATACGTATGTTTAATTTTCAAGACTCTATTTTGTTCTCATAATATAAGTTTGTCAGAGCATCCTACTCTTATTTTATGAATACAGTGTCTGTAGTCTCTCTAATACCACTACTTGTGATTGTTTTAAGTTTTCTTCTGATCCTTACATTCTATCTGTTTTTCAAGGGATCAATTTTTCTGCTGGTTTAAATTAGTCTTTCTCTTTCAGGCTGTCAGATTTCCTAAAAATTCTGGTGGTCTTTGGTTGTCTTTTCACATTTAAGAATAAAAGAGCAATAAAAGAACACGAAGACTGACTCAGAGCTCTGGTACATGGACAAGTCTTAGAAACTAAAGGCTTTACTTTTACTTTAGAGTGAATGGCTTTGGAGCCATTATGTAGAAGACCTACTCAGTGACAGAATGAGGAAGACTTTATTCTAAAATGTCAATCCCCGCGTTAGCTTCCCTAGATTTTACTGTCTAGCACTTTGAATTTCTTTTGAGGAAAGGTTTTCAGGTTCTATTGTTGGACCTTCAGTTGTCTTTTAAGTTTTTACCTACTGGGGCCCTGGTGGCACAGTGGTTAATCATTTGGCTGCTAACCAAAAGGTCAACACTTCAAATTCACCAGCCCCTCCTTGGAAACCCTATGGGGCAGTTCTGCTCTGCTCCATACTGTAGGGTCACTATGATGGCAATGGGTTTGGTTTTTGGTTTGGTTCTATTTATCTGTCATTTTTTTAGTCCAGACATCTCTAGGATTTGACCAAGGAGATTCATTCTCTTCTCCCTCCTCTGCATAAATTCTAGGCTAAGCTACTTCATCATTCAACACCCTTCCCTCAGAAATTTGAATTCTAGAAAATTGTTGTAGGTTTTGCCTTTTAAAAATTATTTTATTTTTATGTTAATAAAGTCTCAGGAGGAAAGGGCAACAGACTTGAAAGGTCATTCTGCCATCTTGGACTCTGCTTTCCTTACTCTATAAACAAGACGATGATAAATGGCTCTTTGATGAGATGTTTTACTGTATGGATGAAATGAGGAAAACTGTAAAGCAAAAAGGTAGAACATTTATTTTAGGGACTCACTATGCAATTTTACTTTTAAAAAGACATCCTAAAGAAATATCAGAAATGAAAAAAGTACTCTTTTTTTCTGACAGCTTTGTATAATAATTATAAATGTTAGAAATAGAAGCAAATTGAATATTCTAATAATATCAGAGTAGTTACAATAATTATAAAATATCTGCATGTTAAAATATCACATACCAAACAAAAACTAAACTTGTTGCTGTTGAGTCGATTCCAACTCATAGTGACCCTATGGAATATCATATAGCCATTATTGTATTATAGAACACTTAAGGCATGTTGCTAAGTGAAATAAAAAAACAACAAAAAACCACCGCCAACAACAAACAGTCTAAATATCAATGTAGACTTGCTCTCATTTGAGTTAAAAAAGTGTTGGAAAAGAACTAGAAAGAAATCTAACGATATACCGATAGTATCTCTAGGTGGTGAGTTCATTTGTGATGATTATGTTACTTCTTGCCGCTTGTATTTTTTTTTCCCTAAACATGTCTAAATATTGTAGTAAAATAAAAACTACTTAAAGAAAAATATTTTCATCATAATATTTTGGTAGATAGGAAAAATGCCCATATTTCAGTCAAAATAGCACACAGTTCACAAATTTCACAACTGAAATTTGAAATTGGTTGATGATTACCCAGTATTTGGAAAGATTCTGATATTAAAAGATTCTATCCTGACTCTCCATTAATTTTGATTTATTCTTTACTTTGATTTATTTTTCCACTAACAGTAACAAATTTAGTCAACCTCCTATACTACCTTTTGATGTTACCACATAAAAGCTTCCTCAGGCAAGATGTACTTTCTAATCTGTAGCTGGCTGGACTTGCTCATGAGCAAGCCTTTGAACTGGGACTTTCCTGCTTTTATAAATTGAATAGAAAGAAAATAAATAAAGCAAGAATTAATGAAAATGGGGTTCTATTCTCCCCAAAACTCTACTTTGCAACCTCAGAGAACGGTAAGCCCTGAGTTGTCAATAGTGAACACGTGGTAGCCTAGCCGCATTGCCTGCATCAAGGGTTCTCAACCTTTGGCTACACATTCAAACCCCTGGGAGCTCTTGAAACTCCCTGGGCCCCAGCTCCAGAAAATCAGTTTTAATTCTGGGGAGTGAATTTGGCATTCATATTTTAAAATGTCCCTGAGGTAACTATATGGTGTGGCCAGGGTTAAGAATTTCTGATCTAAAAATTCTGTCTTAGTTTCTCTTTAAGGACATTGTTAAGATACTTTCATAATGTTTTAAACTATGATCTGTGTTATTTATAATAGCATCTTGGATGGCTGCAAATTAGTCATAATTTAGTCATAATGTGTGTGGCATACAAACAGTGCTGGATTATTAAGGTTTCCTATTTAAAGGAAGACCGCCAC